CCCTTGTGCGCGGCTGCTGTGGGCTGATGGCACCAGCGCTGGACTGGAGCAGGGACCTGGCCCGTCCTCACCAGACCATGAAATCTGTAAAGGCCCCAGCCAGGGCGGCTGCACCAGCTCCAGGCATTGTGCTCGCACCGCTTTTTCTGCTGAAATGGCACTAGATGGAGCAATTGACAAAATATTGTGTTTCTGCTGCTTTTAGCCCGGGCCTGGGGGCCCTGCCGGAGGGGCCACCCCAGGGGATGCTCTGAGGATGCTCCGTCCTCTCAGCCCAGACCAGGAAAGACCAACTCCCAAACCTCTGAGTCCGCTTTTTCCCCTGCAAATAGGTGAGTGCTGCAAAAAAAAAGAGACATCTGAGTGCCACAATGAGAGATTTCTAGGAAATGATATCACAGCCTGTCTCACCCCTGCTGGTAACTTCCCTCTATCCCTGGCAGAAGCGGGGCTGAGCAGCCCCTCATGTCGAGCCGTGGGGACGGGACGGGGTGCTGGGGGGCAGCTTGGCCCCAGGGACCCCCAAGTGGAGGTGCTGTCGATGTGGCAGCTCATTCCCCTGCATCAAATAAATCTTCCTTTGCCACAGAGACATTCACCTCTTCGAAGAATATTCAGTTCTGCTGGTAGTCACTGAACTGACGCCATCCAAGCCGCTGATGGGGCAGTTCTGGGTGATAAACTGGGAGGCGCTGATTTTCTCTGGGCAAGAAAGAGCAGAATTTATTGTGTTTCCTACCCGGTGCTTCGACTTGGACCCGAGAAAGCTGCCAGTCATCGGTTTTGCCTCTCCTCTCTGGCCTTAAGCCTCATGAGGCTCGTCCCAGCGCCCAGTCCTCACCCCACGGGGGAGGCAGCCGGTGGATGTCAGCGGAGCGAAGCCAAGGCACGTCCCCACCGCCTGGGAACGGCTCGTTAATTTAATTAACCGCCGGGGTTGTGTTGACCAGTTGCATGGGGCTCTGTGTGCACATCGGCTGTGAGGGGGTCTGCTCTCTCCCTGGGCTTTCAACGCGGCCCTGGCCCCGTTTCAGAGGCCGATGGAGATTTCTTGCTCTGCTCTCCCCGTGCCCGCGTCCCCCCAGGCCTCCCGGCCCCGCTCCTGCTCTGCCGGAGGGAGCAGAGTCCTCCCCTGCGCCGCGGGCTGAGGATACCTGGATATTTACAGCGCAAGAAATGAGTTAACCTTGAGCAAAACCCAACTGCCAGCATTTAAAATAGCCTGGACAACGTTAGCAAACCACTGCGATGATTTCACCCCCTTTTCTGCACTGTGTGGTCTCAAGCCGATGCCGCGGAACCCACTGCAGCCCTGCAGCAGGGACGGAGCCCGCTCTCGGCCGATCCTTGGCCCAGCCGCCCCTCACACGAACCCCGGGATGTTTTTACCACCCCACGGACGCAGGCGCCGAGCACAAGGCAGCCTTTTGTCCGGGCCTGCCGGATCACAGGCACCGCACGTTTAGCCACGGACCAGGCGTTTTCATTCCTCGCATATCTTGCAGCTGATGTCAGGACGGCACAGGGGTGGCCGCGGGGGCTGTCCGGCTCCGGGGGGGGGGAGCAGCACGGCTGCATCTCCATGTGTCATTCCCCCCCACACACACACAAAATTTTTGGATATTGCCTTCCATCCCTGGTGCCCCCGGGGAGGCATCGCTCCCGCGCCTTGGCAGCTCGCAAGCAGTGGGAGGAACAATTTGGGATCATCTGGTTTTCGGCAAGGAGGGGGGAAGCCGCCGGCTGTTTCTTTTGTGTGTTGTATCCGGCGTGGGTATCGACACCAAACCACGCACGGGGGGCAGCTGGCTGGGGTGAGAGGGTTTCACGTGGCTCTGGCCGGGTCCAGCGCCAGCGGGGTCTGCCAGGGCAGAGAGGAGAGCTGGGGGGGAAGCAGGGGGGGGGTGGCAGCCCCTGGGGGGCTGGGGGACTCTGCTCCCCCGGGGGTCTGTGCCTCTGCACGGTCACACACCACCTGGTTGTGCGTTTGCTTCCCAACCAGCGTTTGCCGCTGGAGCTGGAGCCTGCCGGGCATGGGTGAGGTCTCTAGGCGTGGAACACGGATTCATAGCGTGGTTTGGGTCAGAAGGGACCTTTAAAGGTCACCCCCTGCAATGAGCAGGGACACCTTCAACTAGATCAAGTTCCTCAGAGCCCCGTCCAACCTGACCTTGGATGTTTCCAGGCATCCAGGGTCCTCTTTGCCCTGGGATGGACCTTGGGTGGAGCTGCCTGTTGTTCCTCTGGCATCTCCCCCTTGGCACCGCCATCCCCCCTTCCCCTCCCCGTTCTGCCACCAAAGCCCTCGGTGTCCAGCATCGCGTTCCGGCAATCCCGGCATCCCCGGGGACACCTGACGAGCTCACGTGCACGTGGGCTGAGGGTCAATGGCTGGGTGGTGGAGGGCTTTCTCTGAAGGTTATCAGTAAATCAGAAGGAAAACCAGAGCATCTCTGGAAGTCGTCCCATTTTCAGTCCCAGAATGGATGCTGAGGGCTCCTCAGAGCGACGTGGTTCTCCGTGGCCATGGAGGTGCTTCAGATGAGACTGCCGAGTCCCTGCTGCCTAACTTGCAGCAAAAGAAAAGGACAGGCCAGAAATGGCCATAAGGAGAGTGGAAAAATGATGTTCAGCTGTGTTCATCGTCATTCTTTCCCTTCATAGTTAATCAGCTCCTAGATGGTGAGCCTGTAAAGATCATTAATTTCTTTCCTTGCTGTGACTTAATTGTCTCCATTTGTATTGTACTGTGCTCGCACTGGGGATGTATTTTTGCTTGCCTATATTTAGTTTGATCTCTACCATGATACCAAAATATTTAAATTAAGGCTGGCTCTTGGGCGCCTCACGGCACCGAGATCCTGCAGATGATTTTCGGTCGTTCTTGTGCGATCTGGTACTTCGACAGCGCGATGCTGGGCACTGGGAGATGCCGAGGGCAGTGTCAAACTGTCCACAGTCCCCCGGGGTCCCCGTGAGCAGAGGAGCTGCTTCAGGGGTCGCCCCGTGGGAGCTGCTCCTCCCTGGGGAGCTGGTTCGAGGGGAAAAGAGGAAATACGAGGCAAAGGAATGAAAACAAACAGTCTGGGGATGTAGTTAACCAGCTTTGGCTGCAGGGATGGGAACATGAGGGAAAGAGGGATGTGGAGGGAGACAGGGGGAAGGCAGACAAGTCCATGCTTCCTCACTGTAGAGCTGCAGCACACCCCCAAAATAACGTGCCCTGTCCCCAAAGAGCATTATGGTGAGCTCAATATCCCGAGGGATCCCGCAGGCAGGAGGAGGCAGGCACTTCCCAAAGCCACCCTGATCCTTAGCAGAAAATCTCCCACATTTGTTATGTTGAAACCAGAAAGTTCACCTCCCTCTGGGAAGCAGCAAGGGTCAGAGCGAGCTTCCTCTCTGCAAGAGCTGTTCCAGAGCTGTTGGGAAAAAAAAACCTCAGAATTGTCACAAAATTGTATTATGGCTCTTTTTGTTTGCAGCTGGGGCCTGGCAGCAACGCAATGGGTGTTCATGCTGGCTCTGGGTGCTCCACGCTCAGCACCCAGGAACACAAATCAGGGCAATTCCTGCAAAAAAAAAAAAAAAAAAAACCACCCTGATGCGTCTGTGTGGTGAGCTGGGGCCTGGGACCTCCCGGGGAGGGTCACTGATCTGAAGAAACACCTTGAAAATGATGGATTTCACGACGTGCAGGTATGTGCAGTCACCACGGGCTGAGGGCTGTCCTTGCCCGCCCTGTGGCTGCTGGGGGTCTGTCTGTCCGTCCGTCAGAGCATCCCTGCTGCCTCGCACCAGGAGAGCACCGCGGCGATGGGGACAGGCACAGGAGCAAACGCAGGTAAAGGTTTAACTCGAGTTTATTTATACATAAAGGGAGGTGACTGCACTTTGAGTTAAGGAAAAAAAAAAAAAAAAAAGGCAGGTAGACATTTGAGATGATGAATGTTTCTGACTGAAAACGTGGAGAAAGGTAAAAATGGAGCAGATGGCAGATTTCAGTGGAAAACAGAGGGCAGGGATGGGCAGGGACTGTCCTCCCCTCCCTGCAAGGCAGTAAGTGTCACTGGCGTGAGGACAGGGGCTCTCAGCAGTGGCTCTACAGTACGAGGGACGGGGAAAAGGCAGCTCAAGAGAAACTTCACCGTGATGTGAACTGACTTACAAGCAACAAAAGTAGTCCAGGATTAACTTCTGCTTAGTAACGAAAAAAGAGAAGCAATTAGCTAACTTGGGAGATTTGCTTTTAGTGATGGCAAGTAGATCTGCTTTCACGGTGGTGTGCTGAGCACCAGCTCAACTAGTGACGGCATCCAGGTCCACCAAAGCCTACGGAGAGTGTCCGCTGGGTCCTGATGCAGCACAGCCTCGTGAAGCCGCATTTCCTAGTACGTAGCAGCTTAATGACAGTGTAAAGATGTTTGGAAAAGTGAGGGCCTGAGGCCTCCCTCCCTCTCTATCAGTGGCAGAGGAGTATAAAGAAAAAAACCTCTGCCCTGTGTATGATTTGAGGTGATGCTGGACAAACCCTGTGGGCGCCCTGTGGCAGGGGAGGCCCCGGCACCAGCCGACTCCGGCAGCTAAATCACAGCAAGGCTTTACACGGGAGTAGTTCGGGCATCTGAAAGTGGAGCACGAGGGAGAGCGGAGAGCAGATGCTTGCCCAAAAGGTGTCTGTCAGCAAAGTCGCTCCACGGAACTCTGGGACAACGTTAACACATCCTGGGATGGGAATCTGCTGTGATCTTCTCGTGCCGTGCTCGGGATAACCTGATCCGCCCCGCGGTGCCTGAGCAGCGCGCGTGCTGATGTGCGGTGCATGTCAATGGGCTGCACTTCCCCATTAGCTCAAACTTAATTAGAAAAAAATAAGAGCCATATGGTAATTCGGAATACAGGCAAAACAATGTCTGTGTGTTTGGGTCTGGTATACTCAAATATTTTCCTAGAGTATTAATTTTTAATTCTTACATCAGACCCACATAAGCAAACATAAATAGGATTTTATACTTTACATAATCCATCCAGCTTGTGTTTGTTGTTACATATACTGAATAATCACTGCCTGCCACTACGTACAGAAGGGCTAATAATAAATATTAGGACACAAACTTACAAGTTAAATGAGATACAGTTAAGTAGTCGATTAAAAGGACAACCATAATCTAAGGCTACAAAAGACTAAATATTGCTTTCCTAATGTGCTTTTCTCCTTTGTTTCGGTCGCTCACCTGCCAAATCTATACCAGGAGGAGCTTGTCGGAGACTCATTTGTGGCAACGTGCATAGATTAGGGGGGGTGTAAGCGGGCTTAGTGAGAACGAGGCATGAGGAACGTACGCAGATAACCGAGAGGGTTCATCCCCCTGTGCGTAGGGACACCCGCGGTACCGGCCCCGGCTGCCGAGGCGAGCGGCGGGGCTGTTCCAAGGAGGAGCTGTTTGCTCCCCCGTCCCGGCTTCTTCTCCCCGGTGGGTCAGGCGGAGAGGGACGGGCTGTGCTCGGCGTGGGCTCGCAGGAGCGCGGCGATGTCCCCGCGGGCAGCGCGCTGGGCCAGCGACAGGGCCGAGTTTCCACCCTGCGGGAAAGGGGAGCAGGCCGGGACGTCACCGCCCGACCCCCCCGCATCCCACCCGGGCCCCCCCCCTCCGAGCCGCCCCACTCCATCCTCCGCTGCCCTGAGGGGCTCTTTGCCCCCCGTCCACTGGCCAGTTTGTCGCGGCTCTCCAGCAAGAAAAGAGCTGGCCAGGGCAGCCTCGCACCCAGCTATCGACCCCCCTCCCTCGTCGAAACGAGTCGCCTTCCTGCAAACCTCCTCGTGGTGTTTTGGGGCTTAACCTCAACCGCACAAAATACATCCCGGCTGTGCCTTCTCCTGGTCCCGGTGCCATCCCGCACGTCTTGGACAGAATTGTAGTTGAATGAGAAAATAGTGGCATAACTATAAACGCAGCCGCGTGGCCTGTCACCGCAAACCAGTGCAGGGGATTTCCACTGGCCACGCTGCTCCCCGTCCCACGCGTCCCCGCCTCGGAGAGGCGGTCGTTCTCAGGGGAGAGTTAATTGCTGCTAATTTCTTGGAGCCGAAGCTCTGCTGATTCCACCCGTACAGGATTTCACCTTTTTTTTTTTTTTTTTTTTTTTTTTTTTTGGTCAGTTTTACACCATCTTGTGCTCTTCACCCTGGTGCTCCTGTCCAGGTTGTAGCTGGGATGCGGGACGCTGCAGCAGCCACCCCCACCTGCTGCATGGCTGGCACCGAAACCAGGGGTCCTCTCCTAAAAGCAGTCCCCTGACCACGAAAGTAGACTGGAATTGTACTTCTTCACGTAAAAACCACCACCCGGGGATTACTGCCTGTAAAGCACGACCCGGCGTGTGCACGTGAGGTTGTGAACGGGACGGAGCGCGGCACCGCCGCCTCACCTTGTCGGTCAGCGCGACCTGGCAGCCGGGCTGGGCCAAGAGGAGCCGGACGATGTCGGCGTTGCCTTGCCGGCAGGCCACCATCAAGGCTGTGGTCCCCTCCTCGTCCTGCAGATTGACGTCGGCCTGGCAGGAGAGGAGGGCTCGCACCATGTCGTCCCGCTCGTGGCTGACCCCCAGCATCAGGGCGGTCTGGCCCCCCTGCAACCACACAGGGAAAGGCTGAACACCCCTTACCCACCGGCCTCCTCTAGTCCTGCTCATTCAGACTGTTTAATAACAATAATAACAATAATAACAACAACAACAACAACAACAACAACAACAACAACAACAATAATAATAATAATAATAATAATAATAATAATAATAATAATAATAATAATAATAATAATAATAACATCGTTATTGCATATATATCATAAGATTGCATATTATTAATTCAGCGTGTCTATAATAATTACTATTATTGTTGCATACTGCATATTAAATCACACTGGGGATCTTCAGCAGGTATTGCCAGAGATACCTGCCCACTTGCACCACAGCCACGTGGAGGGTCTTTGCAGCAGCGTGGTTAAACCTCCCGGCTCTCAGCTGCTCCCAAAGGCAGGTCCCCCTGAGCCCTCCTGGGCAGTTTAACTTAGGTCTAAATTAACTTTTACAGCTGTTTGGAGGAAGAGCTGGATGAGGGCATTCTGAGACCAAAATGCATGACTGATGAGTGAGTGCTCGCCAGCAAACCTGACTCAGATCCCCCACCCTGGGGGTCCACCCCACACCGCTCCTCCTTGGTATCGCTTCTTTAGACTTTAACTTTTTAGCCCAGTAAAATTATTTTGCAAAATTTTCAGCCTTCCTTTTGGCTTCTGGATCCTACCCAGTTCTTGCGTCCCTTCACAGGGAGCTGATGGGTGGCCACGCTGCAATTTATCTGGGGTTGCTTTTGTAACTTTGGGGAAATGGCAGCTCCAACCCAATGCCTACCGCCGAGTCCCAGCCTGGCGCTGCACGTGCCGTGTAAGGAACACGAATTATATCCCCAACCCGAGATCTCTGTGGGGCCATGATGCTGAGGGAGCTTATTCCCTTTTGCTCAGGCACAGCCTGAACGGCCATCGCACATAACGGGGAGGCCACGAGCTCGGCCGGAGTCGCTTTGCAGATGGGGCCGTGGCACCATCCCACGTGGGGCCACGCTCGCGTTTCAGAGAAACAGCAGAACTGTGGGGACGCACCTGGGCGGCTCGCAGGTTGACGTCCCCCTCCTTCAGCAGCTTCATCACCACCTCCATGTCCTCGCCCGTCTCGGCAGCCGCCAGCGGCGTGAGCATCACCGCCGTGTAGCCGGCGCGGTTCTGCAGGTCCAGGCGGCACACGCCTGGCCGGAGATGCGCCGCGCAGGGGGAGGATTCGGCCCCGCCACGAACCGGTCGGAGGGAAGGGGAAGCAAAGAGGGAGTTAGAAAATGTGTGGTGGTTTTCCTTCCCAGAAACAGGAGTTTCCGTAATTATGCAGGATTGAGATGTGCGAAGTATCCGATCTTGTGAGCACAGCATTAAAACGGCCCTTCCTTGGTGCTACACATTGCTGCAGTTAATTATGACTGCTTAGGTCAACTCAATTAACTTTGAAGACCAGAATCAAAAAAAAAAAAAAAAAATAAAGGGGTGAGGGGGGATTTACACAACAATTAATGCCTTGGGCATGGGCACACACCAGTTGTGGAGAGGTGGGCTGTTTACTTCGACTCCTGCAGCAAGGGAGCAGCAGAAAGAGAAGCCGTGTAAATCTATCCTGGCCCCTTTTCACTCACTTTTCAGCTCAGGGAACCTCCTTCCAACCACACCAGGAGGAACAAGCCGTGTCTAACTGGCAAGGGCTCAAGGCCCAGCCTTTCCCCGCCCCGGGACCCGGCCGCCTCGGGCACTCAGCCGCAGAAGGGGACAAACTCCCTGCCCATTTGCAGCAACAATCGGGTTATAGATGTGTATGATAATCTGCCATTTCCCTAACATTCAACGGATTGTCTGTCCCATGAGAAAAGGCCAAAGTGCCTTTATTCTTTTGGAGCGCGTGTGCGTTTTTCGCCCCATACAAGCTCAGCTGAGATTCCTTTTTTTCTTTGCAACATGAGCTGAAAGTTCAATAGTTTAACATGGAGTTTTTCTATGGCGTGGGGGCGGGGGGTTGTTATGCTCTCAGGCAGCTGATCCTCCTGCTCCAAGCCATGATGTGGCACTTGCTGCTACAAGAAGCTGGAGGAACCACCCCATCCCACCTGGACTGAGGCCATGAGGGACACCCCTTGGCCACAGGGACCCTGAGCCATCCCCAAAGTCAGACTGCAGAGCCCTCAAGATGTGTCTGGTCCCCGGGGGCACTAACGAGCCTTAAAGCCCCGAGGAGCCTCCGCTGGGACTCCCACCCACACCCATGGCCCCAGGGCCGGGCTGTGGGGGAAGAGGCTGGTTTTCAGATCAACCATGTCTCCAGGGCGGACCGTGGCCCCATGCTTGTATCTTGGATGGACTTTGGCTCTACGCTTGTCCTTTGGATGGACCTTGGCCCCATATTTGTCTCCTGAGTGGACCTTGGTCCTCTGCTTGTCTACTGGATGGCTCCCCTGCACGTATGTTGTAGTTGGTCCCCAGCCCCACCCATTTTATCTCCTTTTGCTCCTGACTGAACATCCTGGGAGGACCCTGGACCTCATTCATTATTTTCCATGTCTGGCACTGTTTCTAAACACCACCCCCGCACCATTACTTGGCTCTGCACACCGTCATCATCCCTGGGGGACTGTGCCCCATCGACAAGAGCAACATAAAATAACTTCCATACCCAACAAAATCCATGGCTGAGCAGGGCGGCTGCTCCTACCTGTGTCTAGCAGGAGCTTTGCAATTGAGAAGTTGGAGTGGGAAACGCTGTAGTGAAGAGCCGTGTTGCCGTTCCTGTCGGCCAGGTTCACCACCATCTCCAGGAGCCGGGGCTGGATGGCTCCCAGCGCCTCGAGATACGCTGCGACCGCCTCCGGGCTGGAAGACTTACGGCTTGACACCCGGAACCACTCCTGGCAGACGGTGCTCAGGACATGATGCTGAAAACACCAAGGTCTCACCGTTACTCCTGGGGTTGCCATCCTGCCAACCGGCCGCTGCCCCAGCGCCTCGCCCCGTGCCACTTCGTCCTGTGCTCTGGCATCACCCAGCCAGTATTTAGCTTGTGGTTTTGGGATTACTGCTATAACTCAAGGGGGAAAGGAATTTCCTGTGGTAACTTGAATGAGTAAGCAGAGAAAGCCTTCATCTTCTTTTTTTTTTTTTTTTTTTTTTTCCCCCCCTTTTCCTTTGTTTCTGGCTATTCTAAAACTGACTCAGAGGTCATCTCATCCCCCTCTCCTCACAAAGCTGTTCATGGCATAGTAGGGCACAGCCTGCAACTCGCCATCAGGATAATCTTATCCACTAAACATAACAAAGAACGGGAACCACATTTGAAATGGGATTGAAAAATATCTATACCAGATGCTTGTCGCTTGTGGTCCTGATTTCTGAGAGGTGCTTGCTGAGTAGTTGGCAGTCGGCAAGGAAATCTTCAGAGGGTTTGCATCTAAAAGGAAAATACTTTTGTAAATCCATCATGGGACAGAACTTGCAGGAGGTACTGAAGCAGGAAGGAGAACATGCAGTTTAGGTCAGAATATATAAACCACTTATTTAAGTGCTTAACTTTATGGACACAAGTTGTCCCATTGACTTAACATCGAGGTACAAGTACAAAGATAAGCACTTAAGTAAGTGTGCCAGTCCAGAGTCCCTAATCTGTAGGGCCAACTTCATCTGTTATGAGAATCCTTACAGTGGAAAAAACAAAACAAAAAAAATCTTATTTCTGAATCTGCAAAGAACTTTACCGAGGAACTTCACATGAGAAGGGAGAAATGAGCTAATTCTCACCAAATATGACTCACTCTGTCTTTTCCACAGTCAAGTGTAGGGCCTCAATCAATCCCCATTAGATTCTGCAGTAACTCAAACAGTATTTAGCCCTTTAAAGCCTTTTCCCATGTCTGCAGAGGTCAGTGGCTGCCTTTCCACCGAGCAGATGAAGCCCCGACCCCAGCCCCGCCGGAGCGACCGAGCCATGAAGGACAGCACGATCCCCGCCTGCGCTTCTGGCTACCTGTCAGCCCCGTGCTGAGTGCGAGGCGCTGCTTCCGCCGATGGCTCCGGCGGCTCATCGTCCTCACGTCTGTCCTGCGAGGAGGTCCCCGAGGAATTCCCCTCGCTTTCACCCCCAGCTTCCCCCTGCATGGGCTCCGACTCGTCGGCTCGTGTCTCCGTCTCGCTCTCTGCGTCCCCGTCCGATGGGCTGTCTTCACAACTCGTGTCTTCGCTTGATGTCGTTTCGTAGCTATTTGAGGACACCACATGTTACTCACTCCTTCCCCATCCACAACCACAGGGCTTGATCAAGACTCATTGAAGACACCCACTGACTCCAATGGGCCTTGGATGAAGCCCGGAGTGATACGCACGTTAAAAGATTAGAGCCACAGCCAAACTTGGGGTTAGTCTTTTTTTTTTTTTTTGGCTTCTTAAGCCAGCAGGAGCGTGATAGAAGCAGTTAATTAGCAGCAGGCAAAGTTACTTTAGGGGCTACTTGGTTGGTTTGGAGGGATGTCCGTTGCACAAGCCCCAGCGTGGCCAGGAAAGGGCTGTGTGCCACTTCCCTGCTGGGACCTGCTGGCACGCTGGTGGGGAGCTGCGAGAAACACAGAGCCCTGTGGCAAGGTGGGACAGGCAGCAGGTCGAAAACCTTGAGGACCACTAGACAAAAAAACTGTGTTTGCAGCTCCAGCACGGACTTGAGTCCACCGTTCGAGCAGCCCCGCTAGAGATACCTCTCTTCTGGTTGTCCAAAAGTACCAATAACATCTTCCACGAGACAAAACATTTCACTGTGAGGGATCCCAAAACTTTTCTCAAACTAGAGATTCCTCTACTTGCTACAAGTTGTACCCATTTCAGCAACTGTTGGTAGAAGAAGCTCTACACAACATGAGTGAGTACCACCTGATGAACCCAACAGCAGTAGCCATCGAGCTGGGAAGTTGGAGGAGCGTATGTCAGCAGAAACCAGCACCCAAACTTGCACACATAGCTGTTTGCACAGCAAAGAGGCAGTGAAACACGTCCTGCCCTCTTCGTGCCAGCACACGTACTCCTCGGTAGAAGATGTGCCAGTGTTGCTCTTAGAGTTGCATCTACAGCACACGTTGTTGTATCTAGTTAGCTCGAAGGCCAAGGAGTGTTAGATATGGGACACACAGGGAACTGAGTGTCGGAGTACAACCTAAAATACGGGTCTCCTTCACCCCGAGGTAATTCCTAATTCACTGAAATAGTCTTTCCTCGGTCCCTGAACCAACTTTTGTTGGCTGTCACTGGAGCGTGGAGGCAGGTTAGTGCCAGCGTACCCACCCAGGCGGTGCTGACCTCCTCCAAACCCCACCCAAGTTAGTGGGAATCTTCCCATGGACCCAGATGGGTCTTGGATGAAGTCCCAAAAGATGGGTGTGCAGAGAGTATCAGTCCCCAGAGTGTCCCTCGCTGCTCTGATAACAACATCTTTTCTACAGGGTTACTTACAGGTTATCAGTGCTGGATTAAAGAAGGGAGAAAAGAGGCTCCATTTCAAATGGCCTTTTAATCAAGAGGTTTGGAGGGAAAAAGAGGGGAAAAAAAAAAAAAAAAAAAGAATGACTTCTTCAGCGATACAGAGGACATCACATGTTAAAAGGCAGTTTTATCTTCTGAATGGATGCTTACCCACCATTTACCCCAACAAACTGAAGATTCTTTTTGGTCCCATTGCCTCCTGCATGGAAACCATAACCTTTCTTTTTCATGATAGATTTAAGACTGGTGGTTGGAGAGATTTCTAGCAAAATACAAAATAATAGATTAATTAAGCAGGCGTGCCACAATTATCGATGATTATTCCCAACCTCTAGCAACAAACTACAAATCATAACTGTTAGCATCTTACTTCATCTTAGGAGATTCTTTTTATGTCTTGCAAAACTATGGATGCACTTGGCCACAGCCTGGCCCTGTCCTGCCACCTTTAAAATACGGGTCTCAAACATCTCCAAGTGACTGGGAATATAACAGAAGTGACTGGGAATTATATATGTGTCCTATGAATATAAGTAGGTTTTGCTTTTGTCATAATGTTTTCTTTTTTCTTTTTTTTTTTTTTTAATATTAATGTATTGGAAAACTCCTATATAAATCTCCTATAATACTACACGGATGAGTCTTTCCATTGGATTTTGAATAGTTTCACTATGTATTGCTTATAAGTAATAGGTCACTTATCTATTTGCAAGACACACACAAACACACACACCCCACACCCCCCGCCAGTGAACAGGCAGCCTTTGGTTTCGGATTCTCATCTTTATATAAGCTAAAATTATTTTAGATGAACAGCTGTGAGTGGGGACAGGTCTTTTCCCAGCCTACTTGCTCAGTTAGCTTGAATTGGTTTTGGTTCTGGTGAACTCCATGCTGATTTACCCCAGATGAGCATGAGTCCCATATTCTTCCAAATTGCCATGTCCAATCCAATTAAGAAAAACAGATAGTTGACGGAATAGCCACAAGTATGGCCACTTTTGGAAGCTGATCCTGCGTATAACCGAGCCACAGCTTTATCAGCTCCTACATGGTTCTGTTTACTTTTTAAATTTAAGATCACATAGATTATGATACGTAGAGATTTGTCTTTCTCATACACATTTAGGAGGGACTATTTCTGATCTGACTGATACTAATTATACCACCACATCACCCCTGCTCAACACTTGAATAAGTGGGAAGAGATTTGGCCCAGATACATCGAAATCTATGCCAATATTATTTACCCAACTGTTGATAGTGTGTGTTTGAATTCTCCTTATCCGCAGGCCCTTGCGTAGAGTAGGCAGACAGCAACGAGTTTAAGGAATTAACTAATTGGTTCTGAATGGAGCTGAGCTTGGAGGCCGGCTGTTTAATAGCGCTTGCTAACTCAGGGTAGCCGTGCTCCAAACACAGCCACTGCTCCTGCAAAAGCTCCTGGATTTTTTTTACGTATTGGCCGATGGGGTCAACAGCAGGGAGATCCTCGCGGTCAGATGGACCTTCCTCTTCCAGCCCATCCCGAGCTTTATCTTCTCCAAAGCTTGTCTTGTTTTCACCTGCGATTGAGCCAATTCTTGTTCCTCGGTAGCTCTCTGCAGTCACTGCGTGAGCAGCGAGACTCTGGGTATCGTAGTTATTCCTGTGATTTTGATTGGCATCGCCGACGTGCTCGTCAATCTTCAGCTGGGTGAAGCATGGTCCAGCCTCGACGTTGGCTTCCCTAAAATGTCTGGGTCCCTCTCCACCGACACCGGTGTGAGCATCTGCCAGTCCCCGATCTCCACAAGCACCCGGCTCCGTCGTCTGCGCATTCACGTTGTCTGCTCTCCGGGCGCTGCATCCTATGGATTTGGTGGAGACTGGGATATTTACATTGATGCCTTTATCATGGGCTTGCTTGGCCCCGGTGACCTGCGAGAGGTCGGTGTTCACCGCAGCGTCGTGGCACTGCAAAGCCCCGCCGCTCCGCCTGGACGGCGGCTCAGCCTCTTTGGTGTTTTCCTGGCAGAGCTTCTCTTCCAGCTGAGCTTTGGAGCTGGCCAGTAACTTAATGCTTTTCTCCTTCTCCTTGATCTCATGATCCTGCTGCTCCAGCACTGCCCTGATCTGCTCGAGCTCTTCCTTCTTCTTGCCCAGCTGCTCCTCCAGAGCAGCAATCTGCTGCTTCAGCGCGGCAACCCCGCCGGGCTCTCCGGCATCACGAGGCTGAGGACCACAGCTCTCCTCGTTCTCTCCAGCCCGGACACTCCCCTCCTCAGCTTTCTTCAGCACGCTCAGAGCGATTTCACTCACGCTTAACTCCCTTTCCCCAGGGTTCGTGAGCTGGAGGGCAGCCAGTGAGGACGGTTCACCCCCGGCCAAGGCGGAGCGACCGCCGGCGTCGGCGCCGTCGCCCTCCTCTCCGCCGCTCTCCATCACCACCTGCAGCTGCGGTGCTGCGGGATGCTGGTTTTGCCACGGCGGCTGCATCTGCCCCAGCCCTGGGCTGCCCCCACCGGGATGCTCCGCCTGAAGAGAGACGTCTTGCTCCAAGCTCATCTCCCGGGGGAGATTTAACACGCCGCCGTCGGAGCCCGGCGAGCGCGGCGCGGGGCGAAAGGCGCTTTCGGAGCCGCTGTGGTGGTGGCAGTGGTGGGGACGTGGCCGGAGGGGCGAGGGCAGCCTGCCGTCCCCCGGCGGGGGCTGGCCGGGCGGCAGCGCGGCGGGCATGCTGGAAGCTCGCAGCAGTTGCGGCCGCCCCCGGAGCTCGCCCTCCTGCCAGCCCAGCTCCGCCTGCCGCCGCGTCTCCGCCAAAAGGGCTTTCCGTCGGTAACTCGGCTCGTCGGGCACGGGGAGGGGTGCCTCGTTGGGCAGGAGGGGGCGGGGGGGCTCCTCCGCCCCCAGGGATGCCTTTCGCTGGGGGAAGGAGCAGGTCGCCGTCCAGCTCTTGCTGGGAGCAGCCGCGCACCCACGGGAGCCGTTCTCGGGCAGGCTGAAGTTCCGGGGCAGGGTGCTGAATTTTGGCTGCTTGGCTTTCCGGTGGATGTGAACCCTTCTGATGGTGTTCCCTTTCTCGATGTCATCTACGTACTTCAGGAAGTCCAGGTCCAAGTGGAAGCCATACGGCGTCTCCACAGAGTAGGGGAGGCTGCGGGGCTGCTCCCTCTCCCCATTGGGTTTGGGTGGCTGGCCATCTGCTGAAACAAGCCAAAAAATAAATTAAAAAAAAAAAAAAAAAAAAAAAAAAAGAGGTGACTGAATTTTGACGACAATAACAAAGAAACATGCTTAGAGCAGGGGGCAAATGTTACTGCTTTTTTCATCTCAGTTTCAGGCAGGGGGGGGGGGGGGGAGGGGGCTGCAGTTTGTCATTGTGGGTGCTCGTGGTGAAGCTGCGCACAGATGCAGCAACACGTGCAAAGGTCCGACGTGGTTTTTCCAGAGGTGAATCAGGTAATTGTTGCACTGAGGAAGCTGAAAATTTGCTGACATCACGGCTCTAATTGGCAATTAAGCAAACAGCAGGTTTTGCAGGCAGAGCTACGTGTCTCTGTAAGTATAAAAAGCTGCCCGATGTATAATAAATCCAGCTCAAAAACAGAAGGTGGAACCAATCCGTGACAGTTACGTTTTTCAAGGCTTTTGGTTTTAACTTTTCCGTGGCCTAAGTAGTGCCGTGCACGCCAATCGGGATGATCATTGCATCGTTTCACCAGCAAACACCAGGTCACAAATGATTGCTTGGAAATGATGAATACAGCACCGGGCAGAGGCCGGACTCAGACAGAGCCGCATCCATGCGAAACACGTGCCTCCCAAGGTGACCGGCTGCTCGGCACCGAGCACGGCTTTTAATTGAGGAAAACGGCCACGAAATGCCTGACAGTGTGTTTGCCCGCCCAGCCGTCGCGGGCGAACGGCGGCGGCTCCAGCAGCACAGCCCAAGGCTCCTGGTTTAACACAACTTCACACAGTCAGCTCCAGCCTGCCAAAACTCACAGCCCCCAAATTTCAACCTTGGGGGTCTAAATAGTTAAACCCCTGCATCACTGCTTGGTTTTCTTTATGCAGCAAGTCTGTGAAATCACGGGGTTTTGGGCTGCTTTGCACCTCTGAGCAAACGAGCTGGGCTGGATGAGGGTGAGGAGGGGCAGAGCGACCAGGAGAAACCAGTTTTCAGGGCTGCTCCCTTTGTCTCCATCCCGGTGCAGCAGCTGCACGGGGGGCCGGGAGGGTTTGGCACGGCTTTCGGTGCCGCCCAGCACGGAGCATCACCGAGACGCAGCCGCCTTCCCGACGGGAAGCAGCACGTGAAAGTCAGAGGGACGACAGAGGGAAAACGTCACGTAGGGTAACACTGCACAAGAGCAAAGCCTGGACGGAGGGAGCAGAGGAGATCTGTCCTGCCTACGTTCCGCAGAGGGCGGGAGGACAAATACATGATGACCTGAGAGCTGTGACCGTGTTTTCGCTGCGGCTTAGGAAGTCTGCATAATACATGAACGATGCATTTTTCATCTCCTGGCCCCAGTGTGCATCTATAGACAACAGGTTATTTACAGTATTTCTGGTAAGGAAATTACTTCAGGGCTTTTTTTTTTTTTTTTTTTTTTTTTTTTTTTCTGTTTGTTTTCCCCAAGAAAAAAATGAACAAGCAAACATCCCGTAACTTCCATACCATCTGTCTTCTCCATGGTGTGGTCTAATCGGGCCGTCAGTTAAACATCCTCTGACAAGCTAGGTCAGATGAGTTGTTTCACCCTTGAAAAAAAAGAAACAGATACTTTTAATTTAAAAAAAAACTCAATCATTTGAACTCAATCTCTCCTTAAAGCCTTACACCTCTTCACAGGCCACCCTCCCCCCCTCTTTCTTTCCCACATTCTGCAGCCTGGCTGTGTCTGCTAAGCACTTTCAAGCTGCTTAATCAATAGCTCCTTTCCCAGCGGCAACAACTCGTGCTTCATAGACACATCCCAGGTAGCTGGTACTTATAAAACATCCCCTGCATTACAGATGGTTTTGACTGCAAATGAGGAAAGACAGACATTTAGCATAATTTCTGTCGGGCTTGAGATAGATGGCATTTCCTTGACTCCTGTAAGCTGGATATATCCAACATAATATAACATCTCTGAAAACTGCAAGGCATACAACCTATATATAGAAATGACTATTTTTTGACCTTTTTTTTTTTTTCTTTTTAAATGCATAATAAGCAAAGCTTCAAAATTTACGTTACATCTTATTCAGACGAAACCCATTATTTCAGAGCATGTCCCTACTGTTATAAAGAACCTTCACCAAATTGCTTTCATATCAGGGAAAATCTTCAGGTGGAGATCTACCACAGCCTACATAATGAACATCACCTCCAGCCTGGTCTGCATTGCCCTCCAGCTCCTTCCAGTCACGTGGACACATGTGAGACCCTCCTGAAGAGCAAGAGATTAAGGCTGGGAACAACCAAGCAAGGTCCTGGGTGAAGCTTCTCTCCTCCACATCCTTTAGAAAAACAGAGGGAATAGGCAGGCAAGGGAAAAGGAGCTTGAGGCAGTTGGACATCGCTGCAGGAGGCTTCCTAACTTGCCTGAGAAGGGCAACATTGCTCAGACTGAGAAGCTCTGTCTTTTAATTCCTGCTACGGGGGAAAAAGTGGGGGTTTCTTGCAGAGTAGGTTACTTATTTAGGATTTTCCTTCAAGCATCTAGTTTGGTTCCTGGTCCCACAGCAGCTTAGAAGTCCATCCCTGCTTCTCCCTGAACTATGCAAGATTTTCAGGGGTAGGACCAAGGAGCACAAAGCCTACGTCCAGCCAGCCCCAGGCAGCTGGGGACATGGCCAGGACTATTTATTCCATAATCCAGCTCACATTCATCTCGTTGATCAAACCGTCGGCGTCTGAACTCATTTTCTGCTTATACTACCTTGCCTAAGTGAGGGCTTTAGCACTTGGCCATGCTTCCAGAGCTCCCTACCAACTTTTACCCCTCTCTTCACACAGCATCGTACTTATCCAGCACTGGCTTCGTTCACCTTTCTACTTTCTCTTCTGCAGCAACCACCAGCAGAACCATCTCTGGAGAGCTCTGGCTCATTCACCATCTCAAGAGAAGCTCTGTCTTGTTGGTCTTCTCCACTCTGCAGATTCTAAATTCTCTTTTTCTCAGGGAATTATTTTTGCGTCGTGCAATTCATCTTTCTTCTTGTGGCAACGGCAAGAAAACTGGATATACAGCACAGATAAGGATACACAGAGCGTAGCAGTGCTGCTGTTATTCTCTTCTAGAAGCACTGACATGACATGTTTTAACTACAACAAAGGCCAGAGGGCAAACAAAGCCAAATCCTGTTGTATTGTGATCGTAGGACGGGTACGTTCAAAGACCAAAACGTTTTGAAGAACCAACAGGTTCTGTCATTCAGGTAGACAAGTTTATTGTCAATCTACAGCCCTGATGGAAAGTTTGGAGGGTCCCAACCCAAGGAGAACATCAAAACTCTCAAAAGTGCCTCCAGGGTTGGCACCTCCTTGATGCTCATGTGGCCGGATGGCAACGTTGATGCCCGCCCAACGCCATGCGAGCTGCTGAAACACCTTGACCAGCAGCCTCTCCACGTGCTCTCCAATTAACTGCACTTATTCCATAAAAAGGAATTTTTTCTGTCTCCTCCTGCCAATAAACAGCACGTGCCAAAATGAATGCTAACCTCTTTCTCTTTTTTTTTTTTTTTTTAATTTTCCGATTACAGTCCATTATGGAACACATACAGATCCCAGCTACAGTCTGACCAGCTACACTTCACTCTTTTAGGTCATTTATTTACAAGGGGGAGAAAAGCCAGTGAATAGGATGCTTTTTAATATCTAGATAATTACCTGTAATTGGTTCATTTATGAGCTGGCTGGGTCCCAACTCTGCAGCCCAAATTGATACTACGACTCTTCTCTTTTGACCAATCTACTTCAGAATCGCCTCGTAAAAGGATGCTGAATGTATCCTACCAGCTTGCTGATGTTCTCCTGTCCCCCCTGGAGCAGCTGAGGCGGGGAGTGGATGGCTTTGAGCCAAAAAACACGGCTCCTTGGACCCCACAGCTGCTTTCTGATGCCTTTCCCTAATAAAAATATGATTAAAAATGAAGTAACCAACCAGAAGCAGCGTACCCATAGGCCCAGTGTCCGGCCTACAATATGGGGCAGGGCAGCACTTTTAGGTGGGTCTCCATCCTGCTAATACCTGCTATGCTGACCCTCTGTCAGGTTCTATATTTGCTGAGTTTTCCCCTATTGAATAAAATTGAAGAACACTTATTTTCCTCTCCAGGCAGGCAACATCGCCACGTGCACCGCATCGCTGATTTTTACCTTTCTGACACAGAAAGGCTGTGGGGAAGATGAATCCAGGTTTGAATTACGTTGCTTTTAGCAAGGCAGAAATACATACAGAAATGGAAATCGAAAAGCCAAATATGTGAGAAGGCAACAGCACAGAGTGAAGTGGTTTTATTCCCCGGGGCAGTCCATTTGCAGGGACAATGTACTGTCTTTTTAACTAGCCCTGTCTCAAACACTGGCTCTTTACAGTCGCATTTAACCCCTCTTTTACTCTGTCCCACTTGCCAGGCAATGTAAGCGCCTGCCTGCTCCTCCATCCGCCCCAGCCAGCAGAGAGGAGAGCACCATTACACCCCAGAAGATTTAAAGAACAAATTAACTCCACCACAAAGACAAATATATATGAATTTCATTCTCCCAGAGCATCTTGCTAGCAATTTTAAATTGGAAACACTTAACCCTGTGCCTATAAATAAGAAGATAATTCATCCCTGCTGAGCAGCACTTTAGCACAGTCTCATTAGCTATAACACAACATTTTTTTTGAGCTCTGCCTGTCGTATTCTCCTGCACTGCAGCAAGGGCTTTAGCACTTCGTGGTGAAAGGAAAAACTATCGCTAGAAAAGCGTCTTGTCGTGTTACCTTTTCATGATCCCATCTACAAGCCCATCAGGGAGCAGAACCACTTGCCTCCCTCAAAAGCATCTTTTCCCATGCCGAGAGCCGGCAGTGACGGTTTCGGAGCAGCAAACATGCCTTTTCCAGCTGTTAAAAAGTTGGTCAGCTGAGCAGTGACCTTGCTCGGAAAGCAAATACAAGTTTAAAACAAGAAGCACCGAAGAGGGATTAATTCTCTAATAAAGCAGCCCAGCTCTCTCCTATGACCTTTCCGAGGACAGTTCAAGCCCGCTGCATAAAACGAGTTACTTTTCCCAGCGCAGTTCCCTCTCCCATCGAACACAAAACACTAAGCGCCGCTGGGGCTGTCGCCGCGCCGCCTCCCTGACCGGGAAAGATCATTGAAAAGACAGTCAATTATGGGTGGCAGGGTTCTCATTATACCTGATGCTGCAGGCTGCAGCCGGAGCTCGCCCTCCGCATGCTGCACCCTCCCAGGCTGAAGGCATTAGTTATTCTGCTGAGCGCCTCTCCCAAGGAGACGCGAGCGGCTGCCGCGATTAAAAGGCGGCACCTTTAGCGGAAGCCGCAGAAGGTCTCAGCGTCCGTCACTCATCCCGCCGAAGCCCCGTTCCCACGCGCGGAGCAGAAAGAGCCCCCTCGGCCCTTTACCCTCCTCCCCGCAGCTCTGGCCCCTCACCTCACGCCCATCCATCCGCCGTCCCCGGGAGGTGCTGACCAGGACGGGGTGACGGCGGGAACGCGGCCGTGCGTAACAGCGGGACGGGAGGAGGACGCCTGACCCTCCGTGCCGCGGCGAGGAGGGATGGGCAGCTTCCCCCCCCACACACACACACCCCTCCGGGCTCCCGGGGGGTGCCAGCGGGGACTGTCTGTATAAAATGCTCCAGCCCTCTGCAGCGGGGTTATCACTGCAAACTTCAAACCGCAGGAGAGGTCGCAGAGCAGACCTGGGGTGATTTTGGGGGTAGGGTATGCGGGGCACGAGGCGCGGTGATGGGCCGAGCGCCCAGCCCGAGCCCCTGCGCTGGCATGCCAGCCGGGCATCCCGGATTGCTGCACCCCCAGGCTGGCAAAAAGGGGAAAAAACCCACCCCCGCTTTGATCTCTGCACTGAACTTGCAACAACTTCATGCTTGCAAAGGCAGAGGGGTTCAGATCCCGCCCAGCTCCCCGCAGCCCCTCTGTGAACCTCTTCCAGGGCTGGGAAAGAAAATCCTGAAAAGCAGAGGCATCCCACCGGGACCCGGGGGCTCTGTCGGGGGCTTTCGCCAGGGACTCGCATCACGGAGCAGCGCCAGCACCTTCCCCATCGCTTAACAAGCGGCGCAACCAAAATGCTCGTGTTAGCAGGAAAAACCACATTTCATTACTCTCTGTCTGCAGAGCGGAGCTGCTGGCACTCCTGCAGGCTCACCGCGCTCGTGCAACTACTAAATGTAACTTTAACAGATTAAGTTTGAAGAAAAGCAGAAAAGTTTTGCCTGTGCAGGAAGCAAAATTGCCTGGACGCGTAGAGAAACGGCAGCAGTTTGTTCTCGCTAGCGCTCCCCAGGACACGGATGGGTTAACTTCTTAGCCAAGGAATGAAAAATAACCCCCTGATTTCAGCAGCCGGTTAAATGCTGCCTTTCCCACGCGGCTCCAGCATCCCACACCACGCTGGGCCATGACTCCATGTTGACAGCTTTCTGCTTTCACAAGCAATTGCTGAGCTCAGGGTTCAAAACGAATTCAAGAGCATGTTGGCTTATTCAACGTTTACTCCGAATATTTTCTGTCACATTCTTCTGGTTTAGTTACGCTCGTGCATCTTTTCTGAGTGTGTTCGTAGGGGTTTGTTGCTTGTGTTCTCCATACAAAGCAGCACGATGGAAAAATATACATACTTCTCTACGGCACTGATTTTAAAGCCTAAAAGAATTGTTTGGTTTTCCCACTGGGAAGACCCAGCAGGAAGTTTTTATTTGGAGCATTTCCTTATTGCAGTTACACATATGAGACCTACAGTTTTTCCCAGATTTAATCCCCATGGGTCTGAAGAAGGTCTTCAAGTCTGCGTCCCCTTAAATAAGCTTTTTGTCAGGAGCTGTGAATGGATGGAGTCAAAGCATGCAAATGAATTAATTATGGGTTGGTGCTCGATGGATCTGGCTTCAGATAGCTTTGCCCAACGGGGCGGGTGCAGGGTGGGAAATGGGGAAGGGTTTCACCTGGGCACAGCCCGACATTGTCCCACAAGCGCAAGGACTGAGGTCATGGCCGAAAATTGCTGCTGCTTTACGTTGTACACCAGCTGTCAGGGGGGATTTTGCTTTACAGGCTGCTCCCATGGATGACAGGAAACAGACGGCCACAAAATGGCTCAAAAGCCACCCCGCCGGTCCCTGCCTGTCCCCACCACAGCCACCGCTGCCTTCTTGGACGCTCGCAGGGCCGATGGGCAGAGCTGCTGCCTTCCTTCCTCTCCCCAAGCAGAATCGCTGCAGGACGGGAGGTTTGGGCTTCACTTGCTGCCCCCCGCTCCCCTCCGCCGCACGGACCGAGCTTGCCCGTGGTACCCAAAGGGTTACACCCAAACCTGCTCCATCCAGGCGGTCTGCTTGATTGCACAACAACCAGCCCAGCTATTATTGCAAGTGGACATACCAGGAATAAATATAGCCTCTCGGGGAATATTTGTTGTACAGATTTTTCAATTCTGTTTTCACTGCAAAGGAAGAAAAATAACCCATTTCCAGTCTGCTGGGGACAGCCACACGGGTGGGATCTCCGTTGTGCGGAGGTGGGCTGCAATCGGCTGCCGGCTGGCACAGGCACGGGAAGGAGTTTCCTTCCAGGCGGAAAATAAAAGAAGTTTGAAAACTCTGTGGGGTTAAATAAATAAATAAGTAAATAAAGGCAGTTTAAAGTCCTGCTTTGCATGGCAAGTAGTTGCCATGAGGTTGTGGGAGCAAACAGGGTTTCCACTGCAAGAAAACTGCATCCCCGGAGCCCACCAGCTGCGCTCCCGGGTGCATTTGGCATCGTGAAACCGTCGCTGCCAGCGGCCCCGCACCCCGCAGCATCGCTCAGAAACGGCAGCTCGGGCCAGTTGTGGGGGGCGGGCACATGCTGGGCTGGTCCGTGCTGCCTGTCAGGGGGTGGAAGGCAGCTGAGCAGACCCCAAAATTAAAGTGGGGAGACCGGACGCTGCCCGAGACCCAAGAAGCCCATGGCCACAAACCCTTCAGCATCCAGAAAGGCGAGCTGGCAAGCTGGATCCAGCCCAGCCCGGCGTCCACCCTGCAGCCCCGCGCGGCTCGGCGCTGCGCTTGCTGGGCGGGCTGCCCTCCGCCCTGGTGTCACCCGACTGCACGTGCCGAACCGGAGTGGGACCGGATTTGAGGGGTGCAAAACCAGCCGTCGTACGGGGAGAGCAGAGGTAGCAGTTAAAAAAGCGTGACAAGAAAAGGGACGTAAATCTTTAACCTCCCTGAAAACGACACACCGCGTAGTCCAGACACCTGCTTAAAATTCACCCTCTGGCCCAGGGCCCGCGGATGGCTTCGGCACGTGGCTTGTGGCCACGGGTACCTTGGGGCACTGGCCACAGCGTTTTATCGCACCCCAGGCTGAAGCTCCCTTGGCTGCTGCCTGCCCAGGGCTTCTCCAGAGGAGACCTGGGAGCTGGAAGCACTTTGTGGGTGGTTGAGAGGGACGAGTTCCCTCTGCAACCCATCAGCTCGTGGGTGCACCGACGGAGAGGGTCAGGCTGGCCTCCCACCCTCCATCACTCCCTCTGCAAAATTACGTGCACGAAGCAGCGGAGGGGGGCTGGATGGGGCTGGGGCTGGGGGCTGCTGGCACGGAAAACATCCTGGAGGCACGCGGAGCCTCACTGGTGTTGGAGAGAGAGCGTCAGGCTCGTGAGAAATCTGAATAATTAACCCAGCGCCACTTAATAAAGAAGATGATCGCTTTCGGCGTGTATGCAACCTTCGGCGGCCAGAGGTACTCAAACAGCCATTTCAGGCATCTTTTCAAATGTCAGTAATAAAGTTATACAGATACTGATTTTATTAAAGCTGCTTATTGCTGTTTAATAAATGCCATGAGCTTCCTGCCAGCATTTCCATTAGAGACGGGTCAGGACGAGACCTGGAGGTATCAGATATCCAAACTCTCACCCTCTTTAATGGCTCACCAGGAGGGGAAACTGATCACATTCATCCCCTCCTCTGATAACCTCTTTTCCAACTGACCTTCAGCTCATTCCAGCCACGGTCTTATAAAAGCTTTGGTCGATTCTCATGATTTTATCCTGTGCCTTGAAAACTGCAGCGTTTTCCCTGAAGTCTCCTCTCCCTGAGCCAGGCGATCAGAAAAACCGCTTGAAGATGTGAATTGAAAGCGCTCCACAGTCAGAAGGCAGACAAAAATCTGAAGCGTTTCATTTCTAATGTTTACACTTTTTGCCTCAATCCCACAAGTTTCGGGGCGGGGGGGTGGGTGTGTGTGTGAAACCAATTAAGCCCTCCTTTGGCTTCTGATCTCTTCCAAGCTGCTGCTTTCCACCTCCTTGACCTTGGGACAGGTTAAGCTTTGCTGTCATGTTACTGAATAATTTCCATGTGGTCAAAGAAGCTGGTGGCAACTTTATGACAACAGGGCTGTCCTTGGCTTGGCCAGGGCCTGGTGCATCCCTGGAGCTCCTGTGCTCATCCAACTTGAAAGCCCAACCTTTGGCCCAAGTTGGGCTGGAAATGTCTCTCTTTCCTAAGGAAAACCAGGATCCTCTGGCTGTTTTGATAAGCTGGTTGTGGAAAGGAACCATCAAACCAAGGTGTTCCTGCTTGTTGGGAAAGTCTCTTCCATTCCACTTTGATCTTGCTCAGATGGTTACCGAGATGTGGGACAGCACAGGGAGGAAACGGTGTTGTGCCATGTCTGATCCCCTTGGTGCTTACTGAGCATGATGAAACACCGGAGTTTGTGGAACTGGAAAAACCCACCCCAACCCACAAACAGAGCTTCCTAAACCCACCTGCCCAAGAAATCACCAAAAAGGGCATTTGTTGTTGTGAAAGCTGACTGGCGTTCCAGTGCCTCTCCTATCTGACCTCGGTAAAGTTCCCATCACCAACACAGGTCTTTGTCTGCTGAAAGCAGGACTTTGAGGTGCTTTTAGAAAAGCCCTGTTCTCTGCTTGCCTATTTTTCTCCTCTTCCCTGGGTAACCACTGCAGTCCCCCATGGAGGCACAAGGACATTTTACATCGAATTCTGGCCTGAGGCAACAAGGCTTGGATTGATCACACTCATGACAGGTTTAAAAACCTCTTTCAACAGGAATATTTATTTTTCAGGCCACCTGAAACCACTCTCCACGTTGATCAGGACCATGGAGGGGATGGACATGCCACCTTCTTCCCCTGAGGGTGATTTCCACGTGGCTGCCAGGAGCCGGGAGACCTCCAGCCGTGTTTCCCACCCACTCACCCAGGTTATGGGAAAGGTTTAGGAAACGAGGACTTTCCTACAGCTTTTTGACTAAGCTCAGGCTGCATGTTGCTGGTGTCTTTTCAGCTTTCTCACTTGCACCAAGACTCACGTTCAGCCCCGACAGACAGAGAAACTGGCTGCAATGATGAATTTAAGGTAATCACATTTGGAAGACGGGATCCTCTGCGTGCCGGTGGGCTTTTTCACCGTATTTAATGTTTCTGACTCCACCAGATTGTCCATTTTGGCAGTATATTATCACAATAATGACAGTAACTTCTTTTTCATGTGCTGTTTAAACCCTGGGATGGGCAGGACTTGAGGCTTCCCGAGGCACAACGCCGGAAACTTCAAGTCCACCGAGGACTAAAATAAATAAGGCTGAGAAGGAGCTCTCTGCAGCCAGTGCCTTCCCACTGCTCTCCCCTAGAGCTAGCAGCGTGCGAATATGCACGGTCGGGGATTTCTGCCCCGAGCCACTGGCTCCTTCACACCCCCCAAGACGGAGCCAGGGCTTTAGTGACCAAAATCTGCCCCTCACCGCTCTTGAGCAAGGCAGAGTCACGTAACTCCTGCCATACGGAGCACCGAATGGAAAATACAGTAATATTCTGTATTTACAAGGGCATGGAGTGATAGGACAAGGGGGTAACAGCTTTAAACTAACAGAGGAAACATTTAGATTAGGTCTAAGGCAGAAATTCTTCCCTGTGCCAGGGGTGAGGCGCTGACCCACGGTGCCCAGAGCAGCTGTGGGTGCCCCCTCCCTGGAAGGGTTCAAGGCCAGGTTGGATGGGGCTGGGAGCACCCTGGGCTGGGGGAAGGGGGCCCTGCCCAGGGCAGGGGGGTGGGACTGGGGGGGCTTTGAGGTCCTTCCTACCCAAACCTTTCTATGATTCTATCATTGCTTTTTTCTCTAACAAATAAGGCCATGTTCATCCCTGGTGCTGCTCCCAAAGCCTCCTTGAAAATACCCAAGATTTGATGCATAACGCGCAGTGATAAAAATGCGACTTTCAAAATATTTGACGGCTGTAAAACCGCAGGGGGAGGGACCTGAATTGGCAACGAGCTCGTGAATGTGCTTGTATTCATCGGCCATCTCGCAGAATCTCAAAGCTGCTCCAGATGTGAAGGATGTTTTGAGACCAAACCTCTCCCTCCCAAAATGTGCCCACGCCGAGCGCCGCAGAGGCTGTTTGATGGGAAGCAACGTCGCACTCCTGCTCGGCAGTAAATAAATATAGGAGGGGGTTATTTCGGTTAGCGGAGGGCGAAGGGAGACTGTGACACCAAATCGGATGGCTCCTGTGGGAACGAGCCAGCCCCAGCACTGCACAAGGCGGATGATTTCTGCACTTGGGAGATAAAACCTTCTCCATGATCAGACTTTCCTGAAAAGAACTGACTGTGGCTCTGGTTTTCCTATTCACAAGTGGTTTGGAAACTGCACCGGGAGACTGACAGAGCCCATGGCAGCAACAGGCTCCCCCCATCTTATCTTCCAGTTTTGGGATGATTTTAATGAATCCATTGGCTGATCCCTCCTTAACCACAGATTCCCCAGCCAGGTCACTGTTCGTCAGGCTGGCTGCCATTTCAGCAGATATATTTATTTTTGAAATATTACCATAAAAGTGACAAAAAAAATCAATCATAAACCCGAGGTTATAGGCTCCCTCCTCTCATTTACCATTTCAGGAATCATTTAAGAGATCAGCTTTTCCATTTAGTCCATCCCAAATCAAACACAAGACACCAGCAAGACTACAAAATGGGTATGAAGGCAAATGCTGCTCTTTTTTACAGTGCTCCCCTTCTCTCTGCCCATGGCTGCGGTTCCTATCCTTACCCAGCATGTGCAATGTTTTTGGGTGCTCATCACCTTCATTTGCACCACGCAGCTAAAATATTTAATTTCTGGTTTAGCCCCCGGACACAGAAACCCCTTCCTGGCAGTGTCGCATCCCGTAGCTGTGAGGAAAATGAGATAACCCTGTTCAGTACAGTCCCGCTTCCATCTCTGGCCGGTATACATCACACCAAGAGCATCCAGACCACGACCTCCTCTGCCCTGAATTGACTTGGATTTGCAGCTGAAATTATCCAACCCACTTTCTGCCATCACCAATCTTCTCACAGACCACCCAGCCTCTTCTACAAACACCTCAGGTGATGGTCTACCCCGGTTGCGGCAGCGCCCTGTTCACACTCACTCTGATTTCTCCTGGAGCAGAGTCAGAGCCCGGCACGAGTTTGCTTTAGGCCTGTGAGAAATCGCAAGCCGAGCGCCGGGAGCTGACGAAAGTGTTTGCACGGGGCACGCCTGGTCCCGGCAGAGTTGGGCTGCTCAAAAATGCCCTGGCAGCGGCCGCTGCCGAGGAAAGGCGATGCTGCCTGCGAGGGAGAGGCACTGCCCGGCCCTCCGCTCGCTGCCAAAAGTGCTGCCGGAGCAGCCCCTCATCTCGGCCCACCCTGAGGATGCAGAAATCTGGAGCTCAGCCTGATCCCGCTCTACAGCCGGGCCAGAGCCCTGAGGGACAGGCGGCTCAGGGAACCGGAGCACAAACCTCGCTAGAGACAGAAATGAGTTACGGCGCCAAGGGTTTCTGTGTCCGGATGGCTGGAAAAGCGGCGAGGAAACGGGGAGAGGCTGGAGGCAGGCGCCGGCGACAGTGCTGAGCCGCGGAGGCTGGGCTGGGGCTTGTCTGAACCACATCTTCGCGGCTGGGGAGGGTTTTGTGACTGGGCTTTGAGGCTCAACGCAACTCTGGCTGCTCTGGGATCCTGGTGACTTCTGCTGCACGGCCCGGGGTTTGAGGGGGGGGCCCTTCCCTGCCCTCACACGGTGATGTCCGGGGGTGTCGTTCCACACACCCCCCGCACGCCCCCGCCAAGGGCTCGGAGCCTTCCTGCCCTCTCCCCGCTGCCCAGCCACGCTCTGTGCCTCCGTCCCGCACCCACGGGTGCTCCTGTCCCGCGTGATTCAGGGCTGTCGCTGCCTCTAAACAAGCCCGTCGAGGGGGTCAGGCACCCCCAGCGCACCCCCAGAGCGCCCTCTGAGGCACGCCCGGAGCACCCTTCAGGTGTCCCCTCAGGACCCCCTCACCCCCCCTGGGGCACCCTCTGAGTCACCCCCAGCACTTCCGAAGCGCCCCTGAGCACCCACTGCCCCCACCCCCCCCCCGCCAAGTACCCTCCCAGCACCCCCCAATTATCCCCTCAGCATCCCGCCAGCCCCTCCCCGGAGCGCCCCTCAGAGCAAACCCCGGGCCGGCGCGTGGGGAGGCGGCGTTCCCCTGCCCCCCCCCCCCCCACCGCCCTGCCCCGTCCCCCCCCTCCCCGTCCCCCGGGATCCGCCGCGGGCCGGGACCCCCCCCCCCCGCCCCGGGGCTCCCACCGGCCCCTCCCTGCGCGGCGCGGCCGGTACCTGGGAGCGGCGGGAGCAGCGCGGCGGTGCCGGCGGCCCCGCTGCCTCCGCCCGGGGACGCGGCGCGGCGGGGCGGGGCGGGGCGGGGCGGGGGCCCGAGGCCGCGGGGATGGGCTGCGGGAGGGTCAGCGGGAGCCAAAAGGAGCGGCAGCCGTGGGAGGCCAGAAATCTACTTTTTACTTCTTTTTTTTTTTTTTTTTTTTTCTTTTTTTTTTTTTTTCTCTTATGACTGCGGTATTGTGCTGGGTCCTTCTCTTTAATGCTTTATTTACACTTTTCTAGCTCATCCTGTTTGCACAGATGCGGTTCGAGAGCGGCGCAGAGGGGAAATCTGCGGGGACGGGCCAGCGGCCGCACAGCTTGTACCGTATTTGCACCCGCTGCGCTCCGGCTCGGCCCTTCAACGCGGTCCCGTTCACATCGGCCCCTCGTACCTTAATGGTGGAAAACGTAAAGGCAATGCAATCGGTTGTAGGTTTTGAGCCTCCTCGTGTGCCTCACCCCGTGTGATTTACCTGCTCGTCATCTACCTACCTGCAGCAAGTCGCTGTAATGGCATTTTTAATCTTGACTCTGGCGATGGGCAGAAATCAGTAGTTTAGCGACCTGCAGAAACACCTTTAACTTCAGGTGAAGCTTTTGATCTTGCTTCCCTTGAGCCGTAGAGGCAACCCCCAGCCCTGCTCCCGGCTGTTCCGGAGCGTGGGAGAGCGGTGGCTCTGTGAACGCAGCATCCTCCGGGGACGACAGACCCGCTGTGATTTCCCCCTTCCTTCGAGAGGAGCCCAACCACCTTTCAAACCTGGGTGGGAAATGCTGTAAATCACGAGCAGAAGTTTTCAGGCTCCCACAGTCCCGCCGACACTGCAGTTTGCACCTCTTGGGTTTTCACCTCCAGGCTGAAAAACGTGGGGGGCGGTGAGGGGAGCTGGGGGGTTGCCAGAGCCTTGGATGGGGCTGTGGGTGACGGGGGAGATGGGGCTCTGGCTGTGGGAGTGTGTGGGTCTGGAGCGGGTGCCCCGAGGCACAGCTCGGTGCGGGGTCACGCCTGGGCTCAGTCCCCAGGGGTCCCACAGCGTCGGAGGGTATGTGAGGGTTGGGCTCCGGCCGTGCCTGGCAGCCAGGAGAGAGCAGAGCCCTCCTCGCAGCACCCGGGCTCCTGGTGAAACAGGGAGAGAGAAAAATCTCCCGTGACCCAGGTTGGGAGTGATTGGGGCTCTGCACAGACCAGGTCTGTGCTCGGTGTGCCCTCACTCCCACGCGAGGGGCACGGGTGCTGACCGAGAGGAAAGCATTTCCTGATGATCTTAACAACAGTTCAAAGAATCAAGGGAAAAGTGTGTCTTCATGGCATGAGGACAACTGCCGCCCCTGCTGCTCCGGTTACCTTGGCAGGGCCCAAAAGAGAGGGACCGTGATGTCAGCCAGATTTTTTTTTTCTGGCTAGTGAAGGTGGGAGATGACTCCTACATTATTTTCTTCTCTCATTCCTGAACAACAAACCTACTTGATGTGCAGTCGTGGCTTTTGAGGCACAGCACCTCTCCTGCTACTCCTGGGATGGTGCAGCTAAACTACTACCCGGCCCTTGGGCTCACCCCCAAAGCCGTGAGGCTCCCTGAGCCCTAATGACACCAACGAGGCTTTTGCAGCAGAAACTTCGGGCACCTACAGGAAGCTCTTGTGGTCACAGACATTCAGCTGAACTTGTGTTTTGTTCTGTTTTCCCTGGGGTTAGATTAAAGTGCTAAGCAGGGTGCGTGGGGGGGGCGGGAAGAAGTAAAGAGGTGACAGTTCACAGCACTCCTGCAAGCGTGCCCCAGAAAAGCAAGCAAGAACTACCAAACCCCCCACTTTTGAGCAAACAGAATCAAAATCAGTTCCCCTTTTCAGCTGCTGAGGTTTTACATGCTCGATAACTTGAAGACAAAGAATCTCCCTTCTGTGAAATGTTAGGTGCTCAGAAGTGTAACAAGTATATGCATAAACCTCCGTGAGCCCCCTTTAATCCAAGAGAATAAGAGCACTTTCAAACAACCGGGATAAACGAGGAGTACTTTGCTGTGTGTATAAATGAAACATGATAACTGTTTAAAAACGGATTAGTTGAATTTGTGGAGGAGAGCTCCGAGGTGGCTATGGCACACGAGGGCTGAAGAAGCCTCCAAGATGGCTGTGTCTCCCCTTCTCCCACCGCGTCCTTCAGCTCCGCGCTCAGGCAGTGTCAGAGGCCGTATTCTCCGCTATGTATTTCGGTCTTGCAAAGTTCAGCTATTCTTAGGCGAGGTTGTGAGTCATTAGGCGCTTTCAGAATGTTTATTTGTCAAGCCACAGGCACTTAAATTTACTTCTGAAGCCAGACAGCCCGCTCGGAGGATTTCTTCCTGCCGCAGAAATTACTAGGTGAAATTCCACGGCGAGAGGTCAGCCCTGTTGCCCAAAACGCCGCGAGTCAGATCCCACCCAAGGGATGCCACCAGTTTGGATTTAAAGCTGTCTAATTTTCAAAGATCAATAGAAGAAGGTAAAATAACAAGAAAAACATGGTTCCCCACAGTCTTTTGCCACCTGATTTAGCTTTACCTATGTGTGTTTTTTAAGAAAGAGACCGGACCTTCCTAATTGGCTGCAACCGCTCTGAGGGTGGATCGTGGTTTGGGTGCTGAAGGTGCTCCCCGGGGAAGCAGGTTTCCCTTGGTGGTGGGACAAATTCTGCCCAGAGACGCTGCCCTCACCTGCTCAGCAGCAGGGTTTCTGCCTGAGCTCCCCAGCACAGACAGACAGGAGCGGGGTGAGGCTCCTGCCTCGTGCTGGGAGGAAAACAGAGTCGATGTCGTGTTCAGAGCCTGCAGTGATGGGGCTGGGGGCTGATGTGATCGAGTCCTTTTGGAAATGCAGTACCAAATTGCTATTGTTCTATAAGATATTCCGCTTGTGCCAACATCCATTTTTGTAGACTCTCTGCAAACTGCTCCCCCTTTGCTGTGCTCACAGGAGCTGCCTTGTATGGTCTGTGAATGCTCAAATCCTGCCCCATCCACCCGCACGTGGCTGGCATGGCTCCGGCCTTCCACGGTCACTTTTTGGTCGGTAGCATGAACGGGGCAAAATGCTTCTGCAAGTATCCGGGTGCTACAGGAATAGCATGAACCTAACGAAGTAGCTCAGTTTGGGAAGATTTTATGGAGCATGCTATGATTCTCACACTCGTTAAAAACACCTGAGAGGATTCCCTAACTGCACACCCCCTTTTACACACCAAACCAAGTGTCTGTGCTTCCCTATGCACCCCAGCCATCTGGATGCAGGCAGGAAAAAATGTGGAGGGTAGATGTGACCGCTGTGTCCGGGAGGAGAAGATACAGCCTCCAGGAACCAACCTCGTGCTCATTCAAAAGCTGCCAGCCCCGTCCTGTCCTGGGCTGTGCACATGCAGTGATCCTCAAATAAGTACGGAAAATGCTTCATTTTCTTATGACACATGGCTCACTCTTGCAATGTTCACATCAAACCATGTGAGGTTGCTTGCCAAATCAATTTGCTACAGTTGCGTTGCCTACAAGAAATTGCCACGTCTTTGCAAGCACAAACAAGTAATGATAGTGCTTATAGAGCAGTCAGCACTGCTGCGGCCATAGCTGGAATTCAGACATCCATTTACAGACCCCAAAACTAGCTAAAGAAAAGGAAATTCTTATGTTAGTTAAACATCATAAAATGCAATTATCATTTTTACATAAATCTACTCTCATTGCTGCATTTTCTGTTCCTGTTTTCTATCAGTCATCCCAGTCTCCAACTACTGCTTATCTATTAGGGTGTGATTGCATTTCATACGTTTCTGCACTAAAAAGAAAGTAGAAGAAATGTACTATGCAGAACATGGGTTTAGCTAACATGGGGCTTGTGCAGGAACCACGTCACGACAAAAGGTTTGTCTGCAGGGCAGCTCGGTGAGAGACAGAGTAAACTGGCCTGTACGGAGCTCCACAGCCACGTCCCAACAGGTCGCCCAAACGAGAGGGTTACTGGGAGAGGACGAGCTCTGGTTGGCACCGCTCTGCAACACACATGGGGTGTGTGTGCCTACGTGCTGTACCTATGTACATGTCTCTTAGAGGGCAGCTGCTTCCTCACCATACTCACTGGAAGCAACCCAAGGTCTCAATAAAGACACGAGCGCCTTCATCCAGCATCTCAGCTCAGTGTCTAGAGCACTGGCTTTTACCCTCAGACAGGAACATGGAATATTCTGATTTTAGAGGAAAGCAATAAAGGACTGAGGGGTGATGAGCTGCAGCTCTTATTTCTGGGTGAAGGAGGCAGCAGCGCTCCGGCAGGGTTTGGCACGGGGGCGCAGGCCAGACCCTGCACATCCTCACTGGGTGGGAGGCAGCACAGGCTGGTGTGTCCGTGTCGGTGACAGCTGCCCAGGGCAGGTGTGTGTGTGTTCATGACTCTGCGCTTACTGTGATGAAGCTCTCTGTAGGAGAGAGAGCACATACACACGTAACATACAGATTCTCAGCTGTTCTCTGCCTTAGCTTTGGTTTTCTGGATTTTTAGTCACACAGGACCTGTCACTCTGGTCCGAGTGATGGTCTGAGTAATCCACACTGACCGACCACCCTGGGAGTTTCTGTGCTTTAATAGTGGTTGAGTCCTCAGAGGTGCTTTATCTGTAATACTCCAAATAAGCTGCACCTAGAGAAAAGCATTTCCCCAAACTCCTGCAGTTTCATCCTCCAGGCTGAAGGGTGAAATGTGAACCCTCGGCTTTGCAGGGCTCCCATGGACAAAAATGTTACTTGTTATAAAACCGTCAACCCTGTTTAAAAGCCAAGCAAGGGCATTTAATGTGTCTTCTTGGAGCTGTGAACTCAGCAGACTGACTGCAGCCTGCACAAGGAGACATTCGTTTCCTTTGACACCACCCTCCTGTGACCCACTTACAGCCCCTTCTTGTACTAGGGGATGGGGTGGGAAGGAGGCACCTATCTCTTCCTAGACACCTTAACATCATAAATGCTTTAATAAAGTTTGGGTTTTACCAGAGTGATTCATTCACTTCACTCACATGATGATGTCTCTGACAGCAACAAAGTGCTGTGTTTAGTTTTAATATATATTAAGCCCCTGGGATGGGCAAGGAGCCTGACAAGCATCACTAGATCCCACTCTTCAGCTGCGAGCTTCCAGCAGGGAGCCCGGCAGCTTTGGAGGGAATGGCTCTGCCATGGGGACAAGACCCAGCACAGTGCTGCTCCGGGACTGGCGCAGACCAGTCCGCACCAAAAGCTTTGCCCAGAGGGCGATGAGCCGCTCAACTGCAGCCATCTGCGGGCAGCCAGAGAGGCTGGGCCTCTTCTTTGGGTGCTCTGGCTTCTGCTGATTCCGGCAGCAGCTGGTGGAGGCTGGTCTGTCCTGTCCTGCAGGGACACAAAAGACTCTGCAGGTCCCTTCTTGATGTGGCTACGCTGGGGTCACAGAGGCCTTGCTATGTGATTCCTGAAAAACCTGGCAGAAATGGCTCTGCTATCTCTGCTATGAAGAACCAACTGTTGGCAGTTTGATTAAAAAAAAAACAAAACAAAACAAAAAACAAGCCCTCACCTGAATCTTGAATCGTTGTAACAGTGGTCTCATCTCTCTAACTGTGGACGTATGCCTCCAGGTTTGAGAGGAATTAGAAAATCTGTTCTAGGTACGTCTGGAGATGCTACCAGCAGATGGTGCAAGAATGTGCAGGTTGTGTTTCCTCCTGTCTCTGATTCCAGGAGTGAGTTACAGCTCTGTAAGTTGTTATTCCAACCTAAGAACAGAGACGGGGAGAGATTTTATTTTTATTTTAATTATGGCTTGCAATATAGCACCTGGCTTCTCATTTGAATTCTAGCCCATAATGGAAAACTGCACTGCCTCTGCTACTGGCAAAGCTGTGGATCCGTATGTTGCGTTAAATGGAGCAGCAGGCTGTGAGTGGTGGAAGAAAATATGCATTGACAGGCAAAGGGTGGGGAAAACACCTCTAACGATGCAATGGGACCACTTACAGAACATCACTTCTTTCTGCAGTACAGAACTGAGCTTTCAAAGAAATTTGAGGAGGAATGTTCCATTTCAGACCCAGCTGCAGAACCATCTTGCCTTTGGCAGATTTTCAGTGTACAGAACCACGTGTTTAGATTGTTATGAACTAATCTGCTTTATTTCTACATTATTGGTGTAATTATTGCTATTTTGTTAGGTATAATAGATGAATGGGTAGCTCTAGGAAGTTCATAGATCGCATCCAACCATGTTTTCTCCTAAGTTAAGAGAGAGAGAAATGAGAGCTAAGGCTGCATACTGCCTGCGGTATGAGAACCTATACATCTCGATCTCAAAACTGATAAACACTCCCGCACAGAGGAGCACATCATGGTTTGTGCCTTGACAAGCTCACAGTTTGTGGCTCAGGCCTTCAAGCTGACAGTTGCTTTTTAGAAGCTGAAATTAAAAGGAGCTCACTGCAGGCTTTACCATGGAGCCGTGGTAATTTCTAATTTATTATCTCCTGCTTTTCCTAAAGTCTGCATCTTTAAGGATGCCTAGAGTTTTTGAGACAAAAACCAGCCACACAGGTCAAGCTTTTGGGCTAGGTTTTACATGGCAGAGACTGGAGCTGGAGTAAGTCCCTGCCTCCCTCCCAGGTGACCTTCTCCTCTAGGTTGTTCCACGAAGAGTTGCTCTGCAATCCACTTTAGCAAGATCTGGTGAAGATCCCACCCCTGATAAGAGACAGTAGCTCTGCGGCAGCCTCACCCCCTCAGTCTGACATCAAATCACACAAACTCATCCTGTTGGGTTGGTAGAAACCAGGCAAAGCCCTGGAGAGGTACTGCTCTCAAAAGGGACTGTAGTTCTACAGCGGCCAAATTGTTCCCACAAGCACCAAAACAACAGTATCAAAGTTAAACAATAGGTTATGAAATTATTTGAGATCCTGTGAAAGCAGAGGTAGCTCTTCAAGTAGGAATAGTTTAGGGTTTCTGATGGTCCCAGGCTGTTTGCTGTGGAAAGAGTCAGATTTCCTTTCCAGTGTAATAAAGGGAGTCAGACAATTTGTTCCTGTGTTTCTGGTTGTGAAAGGGGGCACAGCTTGCACACACTGTGGATCACCAAACAATTAAGGGCCCTAAATATTAATTTCCATTCCTTCTACCTGAAGCCAGTCCTGTCTTTACACTTTATAGTCAGTATTCTCATTTTAGTGGTTTCTTACCTTTCCTGCTGTAGGGCATTTCACCAAGAATCGTATTCCTCAGGAACGAAATAGGTTTTGCTAATGTGGACAGGGGAGAGCCCAGCGCAGGCCGCAGTCCTTCCCGCGCGGAGGTCCCCGCGTGATCCCAGCCTGCTGAAAGAGCACATTGTCTGCGCACAATTTGCACAATGTTCACGAAATTCACAGAATAATTCTGACAATATGGGAACCCTGACAGATTTATAGGCCTATCGCTGATATGGCTGCAGGGTTTGGAGGTTGCTGTAATTTATGTGATTCAGCAACAGCTAGAGGTTGTGGAGGTTTCCTCCTGCAGGAGTTAGTGCTCTGGACTGGACACTTCCTCCAAAATCCAGAAATCCCACCTCTGGGGAGTCTGCTCCTTCCAGGCATTTCATACGGTTATTTTTGGCTATGTCTGTGGCGATTTCTGGTATCCCAGTGCAGCTATTTTTATAACATATGGCTGTGAATTCTGTAGTATTAGACATAATTTAATCTTGCAGGTTTGAGTGTCTCAGGACCGTACGTATGCAATTACTGCCTCTTGCACCTGCTCCCTCTTTGGCCTGTGTTTGAAACACTCCTTTACTGTAAGAATCCGGAGCTTCAGAGGCTTCTAGACAACAGTTCCTTTATTGAGCGTGCTAAGCTCCCATAAATATTTAATTAGGTGTTGCTCTATTTTTAGAGAGATACAGAAGAAAAAAAAAAAAAATCCCCATTTCCTTATTTTAACCAGAACATTTTCCTGCTGGAAAAATTTCCCTGCATTAACTAGTGAGAGCGAGCCATTTTTTAAGAGGGTACATAAAAATTTGAGAGGGTGAAAGGCTGGCAAAGAGGAGATTTCACTAAGCTGAGGGTTCTTTCCTGCAGTTTGCTAGGTGGGAAGGGAGGCTGTTGGATGTCTGGTTTTGAGATGGACCTGGGTGGGTGTTTTTCGGGCAGCATGGCACCATGTGGGGCTGGTGGGTGCAGCCACTTCCCAATGAGCTTGGGAACTTCTACTTCTCCTGTATTTGCTGTCTAAAAGTAAATCATGGCTTCACTGGTATTTTTTATGCTCAGTTGCAAACTGGCTAACCAAGCTGTCCTGGGTTTGCCAAGTGGTGACATTGTCCAAAGAGCTTTGTGTGCTGTAAACCTTCAGATACTATCATTACCTGGATTGCAATTGCAGTTGATGTAGGCATGTATATCTATGTAAGAAAGCAAAGGCAAAGGTGTGACTGTACCATCAAATTTTTTAAAAAAACCAATTAGTTGACAGAACTGCAACTAAGATTTCACCCCACCCATTTAACAAAACAGGCCTCCTCAGAGGGTTTGTTAAAATCAGCTAATTATAAGGCTTCGTGTCATGCTCCAAACAATACCTTGTGACATTTGACTTGAAATTGCCTCCAAGAATGCACAGTAAATACCAAGAATGAATCCTGACTTCTCCTGTAGTTGTTACACTTCAAAGGCAGTTCAAGTCTTGCTGCTACCTGTATTAGAAAGTTGGTCTGATTACCTGGTGTGGACAGTCCATTTCTGCCGTGTCTTCAAATTCTTGTCCTGTAGCTTCCCACCCAAGCAGCCTCATCTCCTTGACATCACCTCTTTGCATCTTGATGATTCCTACTCAAGAACCATCTGAAAATTCCCCTGTTGTTTTCAAAGGTTAAAAGAAAAATAGGACAAGATTAAAGGACCAAATTCTAAAATGCCGTAACTGCACTGACCTCAGAACCACCATTTGATGGCACAGAATTAAGTACACTAAAATCAACAGCAACAAATGCTTTAATGAATATAAAATTTAGTTAAAAAAAAATATCATGCTCTGTATATTGTGAACCGTTTTGCATACAGGTGACAGAGGGAAACCTTAAAGATCACTCAACCAGAATGTCTCATAATTATACTGACTTTGTCTTTAGAAGCCAGGGAGGACTAACTTACAAGTAAAGATAAAAAATGAAGTATGTATGGTTTGGTCAAAATAATGATGATGGGGAATTAGGAAGCAATTTGTGAGTATGTTAAGGAAGAGAAATTACTTAGAGCTGGATAAGCGTTACACATTATCAGATGAAATTACCAGTAGAAAAAGTAAAACACATTCAGGAAGAAGACCTGACACTGAGATCTACTGGGCCACACAACAAACTCATCACAGGATGACACAGAAGACTCTTTGAATGGGAGCCTTTGGAAACAGACCCCACGTTGTGGAAGAAGGGGCAGGTAAAGTTTGTCCCAAACATGTGCTGACTAAGTATTCTGAGACATACTTTACTCTCTTGTACTTACTTGATGTATTGTTTGTGTGGCAGATGCATTTGTTGATTAAAATAATCATTCTTATTAAAACTGAGTTGACTACTTCATTAGCCAAATAAAATGTAATACACAAGAACAAAACCCTGTAACTACCACGTGAAAAGCTGTGTACACCTCCAGTCTCTGCAAAAATACTCTCTGCTAATGTCTCCCTTCCCTCTTTCACTCAATTACTGCACCTGAAAGTTAAGCCATGAGCCTGTAAATGTTTACAAGCCTAACTTTAAACCCAAAGCTAGGCCTTCTGAAGCCACTGATAGTGTTCCTAGGCACAAGCATATCTGAAGCTTACCTAACACTTGTACGTGTGGAATTAAATTGTCTTTTATCACGTTTGCTAAAGCAGATTGAAACCCACGTGCTCGATAGGGTAGACTTTCATTGAAATGCAATACCAGTAAGTAATGAAACAGCCTTAGTCATGCCATTTGACTTGAGATCCATCAGGACGCGCTGACATATCGAACACAAGCCTACCTGGAGCAACTGGACTCCTGCCCTTGGAGTTTATTCCAGTCTGTTATTGACTGAAGGTCCAAACACCAAGAGATTGCATCCTGTCTCATTACACCACGCTGTTTGCCACTATTGCCCAGCACCTTCCAGCTCTTGGTGAAGTGACTCCTCAGCTGGCCACTCGAACTGGCAGCATAAAGCATATTTAATGAAACGCATTATTAAGCAACCAAGCAGTTACGTGACTTCTGAGCGCTACCCACCTGGATAAGACTTCCTTACACATGCTTGTTGTTTCATACAAAAGAACCTCTGTAGTCCTGAGTGTCTATTAACTGCAGTGGACTTAAGGCAACATAAGCTAAGTGGGGCTAAATGTCACACTGCAGAACTTGGGTCAGAAATCTAGCGACTTTCAACAGAAGCTCAGTATCTAGCCAACTCTGGAGCTCTGTAAATCCCACTAGCCAAGTAAATAAATCTTTAAGTCAATATACACTTTGAGAATATGAACCTTGGCTCCTTGGGTGATGGGCCTGTATGTGTGCAGGCATACGAGGATACTTTACGCTGTAAGAGAAAGCAAAGTACGTGTAGTAAGCATGTATATGACTGTAGGGGTATATATCATTTCTGCCATAATTCTTATGTACAGTTACGAGATATTGATCTGCAGTAATAATTAATTCAAGTAGCAATGTAAAAAAGCATCCAGGAAGATTATAAAGAACTTTGCAGAATAAAATTGCTTTAAAAATGCTATTTAGACTAAGAGCTAGGCTTCCAATTTTGTTCTAGCACTAACATATTTGACTGGAAAATTGCAAAGTTATACATTGCTGTATAGCAAATATGAAAAAAAAGTGTAGATGAGTCATGAGGGAACTACCTGAGGAGAAGAGAGTAAAATATCTACAGATGTGGATAGGGCACTCTCAGTGCTAATACCTTTTGAAAAATAGTGTGGATCTGTGGCAACCCTGCATGATTTCGTGGCTGTCTAGTTTGTGTCAGTATTTAGCAGACAGCACGGTGCCACGCTCAGGAAAGGCAGTGGGAGTTTGTCCTGGTGTCCTTCAGCTCTGCACAGAGTGCTCAAATTTGGGGTAATTCCGCCAGAGGTGAAGGGAGGCTAAGGCCTAGGTCTGGGCACAGCTTAAGCTCTATTATGAAACTAATCCTATAAAATACCTTGCTGAATAACTTAGGAAACCTTTACAAAAGTCTTCTAGTGGAGTCACAGATGTAATTGCAATAAACAACCATGTTCAAGCTTAACAGGCTTTTTCTTTTAATATAATCCTTAACACCAGCACTTAGGAAGTGTGACTGCCACGTGGAGTTCCTTAGTTCTCAAGATAAAGGTGAATCTTCAAAAGATTTCTGAACTTTTGGGGCAAAATGGAATGACACAGCATCACAGTATACAGACTTAAAGTAGCTGATTCATGTTTCATAAGAAATATTTACTACAGCAACGCCTCCATCATGTTTCTCCCATCTGACGCTATCCAAGTCCTGCCAGAGGAGAGCTGTGAAAAATGTAAGACCTTATATGGAGTATATAAAGAGCAATTTTCAGAGCCAGATGAATTTGTGAAACATGGAAGCCATCGTATATGTAAAGACAAGGCCTCATAATTCACAGCAAGTGAAGCCACAAAGGAATTATTGAGGCCTTTCATCACAAACAGAACGACTGTGTGTTCTGCAGATGTTCACTTTGTTGCCAGACTGCCATTAGATTTAAAATATTTCACTCTTTTTATTAAAAAAATGAAAGTGCACTTCTCTCTAGGTTAAGCATAAAGAACATCTACTGATGGGGTCACAGTGGCCTGAAATTACTTTGATACATTTCCAGAGGTAACAAGATGTCTTCTACAACCTTCCACTAGTTTGACTGTCAAAGATTTTTTCTTTAAAATAAGAACAAAGCATTAGCCTAGCAAAAAAAAAAAAAAAATTAGCTTTTCTGTAGAAAGGGGCTTTTGTAAGCAGTGTGATGCACCTATAGCTACCAATATATGTGACAATAAACATATTTAATCCCAACCATCATCAGACGGAGCCACTGAGCTATTGCTTATACATAAAAGTGTCTGACCTTCAGCTACAGCCCTGTCACCAAACCTTCTCTGTAGGTGGCAGTTTGAAGAACAGGGTAACCTATAGGATTTCCCCACATACAGTCTTTTGAGTGTACTGATCCCTCTACCGGGATTTTTTGCAGTCTTAATGGGCTCAATGAAAGCTATGACTGACTGCATGCTTCACAGCTGTGCTGGTAAAGCTTTTTAGCTCGTATCTCATAAGAGTTACAAGTGTAATCCATGGTTTATGAGCGAAAAAAAAAAAAAAAAAAGGCGGAAATCTTGTGACACAGATGTTTTATGTATTTAGAGGATGGGGCTGAGGCTGAATCCTGATACTTATCATGCCCAGCGCACTCTGAGGCAAGCTCCGGAGGGCCCAGCTCACGGTCTCGGCAGGCTCCCGGAGGCGCAGGGAAGGTCCCCTGTGCCGGGGGGGATCGGCAGGATCGGCGGGTCCGGGGGGAGTGGCGGCAGCGGCCCCGGGGGGCGGCGGGGCCGGCGGGGGGGGGGGGGTGGGCCGGTGGTACCGGGGGGCCGGAGCCCCCGTCCCGCCTTTCCCCTCAGGCCCGCTCGAGAGGCGCCGCCGCGCGCCTCTCGCTGTGATTGGCGGAGGCCGGGGGAGGGGGCGCGGCCAGAGTGGGACCGATCCACCGCCGCTGAGGGGTGGGAGGGATGGGGGGGAAGTCTCGGCGGAATGGTTCATCCCAGCCACCTCCCCTCCCCCGCCTCCACGAGCCCGGAGCCCTTTGGCCGGGCCGTTACCAGCGCCCGCGCGCGCCTAGGCAGGACCCCGAGGGCTGTCCGCTGTGTTGCCTGACGGTAGCGGCGTTCCCGCGCGGCGCCGGTGCCGCCGGCGGGCCCAATGCGGAGGCGTCGCTCGTCCGGCTCACGCCGGCGGGAGGTAGACCACCGGCCGTCAACCATGGCCCTTCGCTCCCGGCGGGCGCCGGCCGCGGCACCCGCTCCCGGCGTTCGTGCCGGGCGGCCGCGAGCACCCGGGCGCGAGGAGGGGTGAGGGCGCGGGTCCTGGCGGCGCGGAAAACGCGCCAAGTTTCCCGCGGCGGGGAACGAGCGGCGCCGGGGGCGCCCCGCGGTCTCCATGGCAACCGGTGGCGGCGGCGGCAGCGGCCCAGCGCCGCGCCGGCGTGTAGCGGTGAGGGGCGGCGGGGGGGGGGGGGGATCCCCGCCATCCGTCCGTCCATCCATCCACCCACCCGGGCCCCGCGGCCTCCCGGGCGGGACCGTGAGGGCGGGCGGGGAGTGTGGGGGGGGTGCGCGTCCGCTTTCCCGCCGCTTTCCCCGCACTAAATGGCGGTTCTCTCTGTCTGTGTGTGTGCGCGCCGCAGGTGTGAGCGCCTAGCGCGGCTTCCCGGCCCCGCCGGCCGCCTCCCCCGCTCGCCAGCCCGCCAGGAAAGATGCCCGGGGTCTTACCGAGTGACAGCACCGGGCCTGCCAGGGGGAGCCCCTCGAAGAAGAACAGGCTGTCGCTGAAACTCTTCCAAAAAAAGGAAACCAAAAGAGCGCTGGATTTCACGGAGTCGCAGGAAAATGAACAAAAGGGTTCAGAATTCAGAGGCGCTGAGATGTATGTAAGGGGTTTTTTTTTTGCTCTGAATAAGCGTTCCTGGCTGTCTTGTGGAAGTAGCAGCTGAACAGGAGTTAGGTTGGGTGTAATGGGCAAACATCGCCGCTCCATCCGCTCATTTTAAGTTGTATATTCTCGCATAAGTATGCGCTTGAACACGTAATAAATAAACCCCTAAGCCAAGTTAATCAAACTGAACTAGCTAATGAATTTCCATCTTTACTTTTAAGAAAACAAGTTTGCCATACTGCGGATGTTTAACTGGCTGGCATAAACTTTTTAATAACTTAAAGAAGTTAGCTTGTTTGCAGTTAATATAAGGTAGTGAGTCCGATGCTGAAATATTTAAATCATATTAAGGCGTAGGGTTTTGCAGAATGGGTTGTAACAAAAAATACTGGCTTTTAAAGGTTATTTCTGCTGCAAGTAAAAGCATTGATTGTGCTACTTACTGTTGTTCATCTGGGTGTTTCGAGCCCTGGGCAAATCTGTCAACTCATTTCATTGCAGCTAGTCAGGAAATTTAAGTGGGAAAAATTGCTTAATCATGGTCAATTACAACTGTGTTGGAGACTTTAAAATTTGGTTCTGTGGTGTCAGTACGGTCCATTATTACCATTATCTCTGTATACAATGTGCCAAGTTCACTGGTTCCTTTTTTTTTTTTTTTTCCTTTTTCCCAGTTTTATCCTTTTGGTTTACATACAGAAGTGAAGTGACATGAATCTGAAGCTGGGGACAGTAGAAAGTATGTGCTAGATATATTTTCCTCAGTGCGGCCTTAGGAACGAACAAAGAACATACAAAAGTATTTTAAAGAGAACTTTTTCAGTTCCTCAAGTTGGTCTCCTAATGTTTTTGCAAAATATTTATTTGATCTAACAACAAATTGCCTGCTCCTGGTAAACCTACTTTTGTGTAGGCTGCTGAAGTGTTACAGTGGAGCGGCCTGTGTTTGAGTGCCCCGAGTAGCCATACAGAGGTTCCCAGAAACACTTTGACATGACTTTGATCTGTGTGTATTGGTCATTAATTCTGTAAGCTAGCTCTGAGATGGTGATGGCCGGGAGAGAGATGTGCATGCATGCCAGGAGGAGTCATTTGCAAAAATTGTCTCTTACACGCTGTTTTATCTGTTTAATAGTGACCAGGTTGTTCCTGCAGCACAGCCTCCCTCACTTGTTAGCTGTGAGAAAAAAGACAACATGTTGCCTTTTGTGGGCTTGAACAATCTAGGTAACACTTGTTACCTTAACAGCGTACTTCAGGTAAGAGCACGTTCAGGGGCCTCGAAAAGATGATTTTCTTTTGGTTAAGCACAAGTGGATGAGATTCACAGTTTGATACCACATAGCTGTCTGGGTGTAGCATGAAGGGAATACAATTACAGCGGGGGGAAAAAAGATGATACTGTGGGAAATGTGTGCACCACAGGTTGCCTCGATTGGGTAATTTTTCAGTTGACATACTGGGCACCTCCCTGCTATGAATAATCCTCCACCTTTGCGTGCTGTGCGGCAGCCTTGGGAGATGCAAAGCTGGTTTGATCGTAAATGTGGATGCGTATGTTGAGTAACTTTACCAGTTATTCTCTTGTTTTAAACTGTTGCTTTCAGGTATTGTATTTTTGTCCTGGTTTTAAAACTGGAGTAAAGCATTTATATAATATCATTTCAAAGAAGAAAGAATCTTTGAGGGATGAAGGAGAGCAAAAAGCAGAAAAGGTAACATATCTCATGACATGTTCCTTTACTTATAATTTTGCAAGTGAGGCTGCATGCCCGGAGTGTAATGAAACTATAACTGTCATTTCTCTTGTTTGTAAGTTTTGCAGTACTATATTCTACAGTGCTATTTCAGGTAAAGATACATTTGAGTTGCTCCAAACTTGTGTTCAAACTCGAGTGTTCAGAGTGTCTGGAAACTTGTAAGCACAAGTCTTAAGTTTAACAGAAGAAATGCAAGAAGATATCTCACCATGCCTCTGACATCAAAATAACTATGAGACAGTACTCTGAGTGGGTGGAAATTGAAGTTTGGGCAAAGATGGCTTGAGTTTTTAAAATAATGGCTAGTCTGGCTTTTCTGCTTGTTTTCTACTGGCAAAAGAGCAATATATTGTCCGAAACTCACCTGCCTCCATAGCAGAAAAAAAAAATCTGTCATATGTCTGTTAGAAAACTTAAGTGAGGGCAGGAGAGAAAAAGTTTAACTTGTTACAGACCAAACTGCGTGTATTTTTATTCTTTTTTAAAATATTGTTGTTGCAGGGAAATTGTAAAGAAGATCCACTGGCAAGTTATGAACTAATCTGCAGTTTGCACTCATTGATCCTTTCAGTTGAGCAGCTTCAAGCCAGCTTTCTCTTAAGTCCAGAAAAATACACAGATGAACTTGCTACTCAGCCACGAAGGCTACTGAATACCCTTAGGTACAAATTATCTTAAACACATTGTCAGAATTTTCACCAGAAGTTTTGAGGTCATTATCACTGTTCAGCACAGCATTAGAGACTTGTGGAAGGTAGATGATCTTAAATTTGGGGCATTATCCTAGGAAGTAAGTTTTTCGTGTTTATTTTAGCCCTATGATAGCATAAACTGGAAAGTAAATTTTCATTTTGTAAGAATGTAATTTAAATCCAGCTGTGGATTTAAGCCCGTACTTAGCCTTGCATATGTAAGTATTCTCACTGACCCGGGAAGGACCACTGCAATGAAGCGTGTGTTCAAATGCATAAGGCTGTGGCTGCCTTCCCACGGCTATTTCTGAGAGAAGAATTCTCTCTAGGCCCGGAGATCATCCTCCCCTGCTTTTATACCTAAATTCCCTAATTCAGATCTCAAATCCTGTTAGCCAGTTAGCAAAGAATTAACTAGTCCTCATTGCTTTGCTCGTTTACTTTTAATAGAGAGCTCAACCCTATGTATGAAGGCTACTTGCAGCACGATGCCCAGGAAGTTCTTCAGTGTATCCTGGGTAACATTCAAGAAACATGTCAGCTACTGAAGAAGGAAGAATTGAACAAACTGCCCGTGGAAGAGCCCACAGCTAAACTGGAGGAACAACTTAATCAAAATACTGAGAGCAATGGAACTGGCAATCCTGGGGAGGAGGAGGATAACGTACCAAGTAGCCATGTCGGAGAGATGGCTGAAGACAAGCTACTCAAAGGAAACGGAAAGAGAAAAAGTGATGCTGAGGGTGGCAACGCAAAGAAAAAATCCAAAGTATCAAAAGAGCAAATTGCAGCAGAAGAAAATCAAAGACAAACCAGGTCAAAGAGAAAAGCAACAGGAGAAAAGCTAGAAAATCAAACTGATGCCATTGCCAAGTGTTCCAGTGAAAATGAGAGTGCGAAACCAACACAGAAGAAGTCACGGCTCAGATTAAACTGGTTAAAATCTTCATGCAAACAGCCTAGTATTTTGTCTAAATTTTATAGTCTAGGAAAGTTAACTACAAACTTGGGATCCAAAGACCCAGGGAAAGAATATGATGACTGTGAGCTTGAAGAGTCATCTGTAAAGTGCGAAAATGGTAACAATATTGAAGAATATCATGAACCAGCGTCTCCTGTGGAAAGCCATAATGAAAAAGGAACTGAAAAAGAACCAAAAAAGGAAGGTTGGTGAACAAGTGTGCGGGCTTAAAATTAGTATGATTAAGAAATTACTATGCGTGGGAAGTCAGCCTTCAGACTGCATAGCCAGCAGAGCTCTCTAAGTACAAAATTACATTTTCAGAAATTGAAAAAGATTTTTATGAAAGAGAATTTATTTTTATACATGCCTGTAAATTTTTTTTTTTAACTTGGCCTGTTTAGCTTAGATCTTAAGTGGTATCTCTCTAACCATCATGTAACCATTGTACAACATAAAAAAAAAAATAATAATATTGCCAGGTTTGTATTATCGCTAATTTTTGTCGTCCGTAGAAATAGCAAGTGGATTCAAGATGTAAAGGAAGATTATTG